TTCCGATCTCGTCGTTTATTTGGATGGAGAATGGTAGATTTTCTTAAAAAGGCAGGTATGATAGTTTCTATAATAAAGGCCACTCCAAAAGCTAAAGATGATACCGTGTCATTAACTGAAACAGTAAAGGGGTATACTTCGGCTATTAAAGCAGAGGAAATTTCAGACATTGCCAACGCCAATATTCTCGATCATGAGATGGCCGAACACCTAGAAAACAAGCCAAAGAAGACTTTAGAAGAAATGTATGCGTTAAGCCGGTATCATATTGCAGATTGCTATGGGATGGCACCGGAATCTTTAACAGAGGAATTTATCAAAGATTATGGTAAATATGATCATATGAAATGGTTCAGAAATATCCGGAAACTACGAGATGCAGGCACTAATAATGGGACAGCAGTTGAGGCCATTATCCGTGAAGATTATAGAAACGATAGACTTACAACCGTTACCCAAGCTGAGAAGCATCGAATTTGTCTGGAATTACTAAAGACTTGCACACCGGTTAAAGATATTGATGATCGAAATAGATATAAAGTTAATGATGTCAAAACCTGCTTAAACTCACCAGAATCGATACAATACCTCCAAAATTTAGTACCAAAAATGGCTCGGGTTTTTGATAATACAGACGCATCTCGTAGTGCTAAAAAATCTGGTTTAAAATCGGATAAAGCGAAACTTGGTTTATTAAATTCAGCACTTTCTGCAATCTATGGGGTAAAGTTTAAAACTACTAATAATAAAAATACGCATTACCATCTAATTGGAGCATTTGACAATGAGGATGCCCCCAAATTACCACCATATCAAACGGGCGAAGATTGGGAGAATGGAGAAGATTGGCGGTATTCTTATAGTAAACTCTCATCCGATGAATTAGAAACCTCTTCCAATTCTATCATACAAGATACTCAGGATCTATTTGATATCTGTTAAAATCCTCATTTAAAAATGATACTTGTAAAAAAATCCATTACGAAGACCATTTTTGTGGCGTTTAAAACTGGCATCTATAGTTGTATAGTGACTACCTTCGGAAAAAGTGAGTATAATTACGCATCAGCTTCTATCCTCTGCGCCTTTTGTCTATCATACCAATTTCGGAAATAAACCCTCTTCGCGTGCTTAGGACAATATCCCGTCCCAGAAATTGTTAGTTTTCCACAGATCCCACAAGGAAA